AATCATGCACTGACAGAGAAACTCACACCCTGGTTTGTTTGGAGATAGGGTCTCCCTGTGTAGCCCAGGCCATTCTCAAGCTGGCAATTCTCCTGCCTCAGCCTCTCAAGTGCAGTTCCACAATGTCTGAGAACACCTTAACCATATCCGAAGAGAATTAGGAAGGTGAATCTGAGGTAAAGACTTGGGACAGCAAGGAAGGTCACGGAAGATGGGCATGGTGCCTGAATTTGGGAACATCCAGGCTTGGAGTTCGTTCCCGGTTTTGTTTCTCTCTCTGCTCGGTCCCAAAGGTGAGCTCCTGAAAGAACCAGAATGCCCAGGACCCAAATAGGCCTCTTATGGTGGCCTTGGGAAGCTGCTGCCGGCCTCGGTTGGTGACACGCCCTCTAGTGGCCACAGGGATACTCTGCAACCCCTTTGGCCCTGGGTTGTCAGACCCTGAGTTCTCAGAAGACATGAGAACATCACTGAGTGGGGAAGTGGGGTTTTCTGCCCCAGAGGATGGACTCTTACCCTCAAGGATGCCTTTCACCGGTCCCAGCACCACTGTTCCTGTCCTCAAGCAGACAGTGAGCACTGTCCCCCCTGCTGGGCATTCCCAGTACTGCACTTAGGGGCTCCAGAGGATCTCTGGACACAGGCAACACGCACACTGAACACCTGCCTCTGCACTCACCAGGGAGGCAGGAAGTAGGAAGCAGCTCAAATGGCTGCAGCCCCTGTTGTGTGTGTTCATACAGTGTAGGAGGGCTGATGAGAGAGGGGAGGCAGGCACTGGAGGCGGCAGTGGGCCAGCCCCAGGAGCAGGGGTGGCAACTCACTTTCTCGCCAGTTTCCAAATGTGGGTGTAAGGACAGCAGGACAGAGAAGAACGTTAGTTCAAACACAGAACTCAAATGAGACTAAACAAACAAACAAACAAATAAAGAGTATGACCAGGAGTGGTGATGTGGACCTGATGCTAACACTCCAGAGGGAAGCAGAGGCAGGAGGATTGTAAATTCAAAGTCAGCCTCAGCTACAAATCGAGTTCCAAGCCAGCCTGGGCGATAGGAGGTCCTGTTTCAACCCTCCACCCCAAATCACAAAAGAAAGTGAAGCTCAGCCTCTTTCTGTCCCCTCAGCAAGCCTCTCCAGGACACCACTGGGGAACAATGGTCCTGTCATCTAAGCTGCCTGGATGGGAAAAAGAGTCATGTGTCCAGTGTCAAAGTCAAAGCAGCCACCAACCCCAACCAGGAACAGCACTCTCTGGGGTGACTGGCTCTGCAGGCGGCATGTGTCTCACAGTCTTTTCTGCTGACCTTGCAGTGATTGTCTAGTTACAGCCCGCTCTTGTAGTAATCATTCCCAGCAGTAAGCAAGGACACACAGCCCCTGCAGGGTCTGCACTTTTACCACCTCATCTGGACTGTTTGATTCTGCTCTTCCTCCCCCCAGACCTTCCCAGAGCTCTCCTATCCCGAGAGAGAGAGAGAGAGAGAGAGAGAGAGAGAGAGAGAGAGAGAGAGAGAGAGAGAATATGATGTATGGCTTTCCCTTTTGACACACCAACAGATCTACTATCGACAATATCAGCAGGTTAATTAAGCAGTCTATTAGCGATAATGTTATAAAAACTGGCACATTTTCAACTCAGATCGACACCATTCAAGACTCATGCATGACTGACATTGGAGCAGCAATGCTGGGAGCTATCCTGAGTGGGGGAGGGCAAACACGCGCTCCTGACGGCCACAGATGTTCTTGCACGGAGGACCCACTGCCGTGTAAAACCATGCAGATGGGGAAGAGCTGATGAAGCAGCATGCAGAGTAAAGGGACAGCGTGAGAAACAGCGAGAGCCGTGGAAACGTGTGAAGGACGCTCTCAGGAGCCCACCTCTGAACCCGCCCGGGACAGACAAGAGGTCAGTGGGGCTCGGGCAAGCAGCACACACCTGTGCGAGGAACTGACCTTTGGGAAGGCACCAACCCACCCAGGAGGAGGATTTCCAGACACATGCAGGAAGAGTCATAGGCCACGGACTTGGGGAAGATGCGATCCCATGACTCCTCAACTCTGATATGCATTTTCCACCTCTTAATATCCTAAGAATTGTGATGTGTTGGGCTGGGAAGATGGTGCAATTGGTAATATCCTTGCTGTGCAAGTACAAGGGCCTGAGTTCAAGCCCCAGAACCCAGGGAAAAAGCTAGGTATGGTGGTGGGACATGCCTGAAATCCCAGTGCTGAGGAGGCGGAGACAGGAAGATGCCCTAGGAAGGCTGGCTGGCCAGCCTCACTCACCTAATAGGCAAATACTACGTGTCAGTGAGAGACTCTGACTCAAAATATAAAGTATGAGCTTGTGAGGTGGCTCAGTGGGTAAAGGAACTTGCCACCAAAGCTGACAACCTGAATTTAGTCCCTGGAGCCTTTGTGGTAGAAAGAGCCAACTCCTACAAGTTCCCCTCTGACCTCCACACAGGTGCTGTGCTACAAGAGTGTACAACATGAATGCACACACACACACACAAGTGCATACACATATACACACACAATCATAATGACTGTCAGGGTGCAGGGGAATACCTGCCACCCAACACAACAGACAGGGCCCACGTGAATTTAACCACGGGTAGGAAGATCGTTTCATTCAGCTGTCACCTCAGCCGACCACAGCCATCCACACAGAACTTGCGCTCAAACTTAGATTCCTAATTGTTGCCTGAAACATCTTTTTTAAAACTTGCACTATAATGGTGCACGGACACGAAAAGTTATTGTACATGCAGAAGATCGTCTGCCAGATACCAGGCAATGCAATTAAAGGCAGTAGAAATTGCCAAACCATAGATAGCTACCCTAAAGAAATGCTTGCCCATATGCACAAAGAGACATTTACAAGGATGTTAATTATAGCGCTGTTTGTAAGGAGCAAATAATTAGAAACAAGCTAAATGTCCACCATTAGGGAACTCACACTGGACTCCCTCCAAAACAAATCACAACACGAAGAACGCTATTGAGAGCAGACAGGTGACTGTGTCAAGCCCTGTCATTGACAGAGCCAAGTGCATGTGTACATAAATGTACAGGTAATGTTTTGGAAGGCACCTGTCTCCCAGAGTGCCCATGGAGGAAAGAATGCAATTTGAGACTTAGGAAGCCTGTTTCCAGAGATTTCTATATTTTCTTCACTAAATGTTTCTATATTATTTAAATTTTACAATGGAATGCAATCATGGTTTATTTACCTAAAAAGCCATCTTTGAAATATAGAAATCTCAAGTCGGGCAGTGGTGGCGCATGCCTTTAATCCCAGCACTTGGGAGGCAGAGGCAGGTGGATCTCTGTGAGTTTGAGGCCAGCCTGGTCTACAGAGCGAGCTCCAGGGCAGCCAGAGCTGTTATACAGAGAAACCCTGTCTAAAAAAAAAGAAAGAAAGAAAAAAGAAAAAGAAAGAAAAAAATATAAAAGTTTCCAGGTGTAGTGGTGTATGCTTTAATCCTAGCACTTGGGAGGCAGAGGCAGAGGCAGAGGCAGAGGCAGAGGCAGGAGGACCTCTATGAGCTTCAGGCCAACCTGGTCTCTGTAACCAGTTCTGGGCCAGCCAGGGCTACATAGTGAAACCTTATCACACAAAGACAAACAGGAAAATTTTTTAATTAAAATTTTTTTAATTAAAAAAGGAAATATGGAAGTTAAGATCTATTTTTCCCCCATATTATGAGTGAGAAGCTGGGGAAATATACTGATTAAATATGATAAACACATATGGAGCCATGGAGGGTGAAGGTGACTGACTCCCAAGGAGCTAGTCCACCCTCAAAAATTAACCCAGAGACTTCCCTTGCCAATGATTAGAAAGAGACCTATGACCCAAACCTTATCTAGGGAGGAATGTCTTTGGGGGTGCTATGAAGGATCTGCTCCCATCTGAGGGTAACAGACAAGAGTCAGAACCCCTTGGTCTCTGGGCACAGTCAGGCTTTGTTGTGATGCCTAGAGGTGCTGCTGTGGCCACCTTGATGATGAGAGGTCTAGTCTGCAGAGAAAGCCCACTGGACAGCTGCAGAGATGACGTGAAGGACAGCAGGACTTGGGTGTCACATCTGAGACTCTGCAAAGTGGTAAGCTCTTGATTATTTAAGCCACTTTGTTGATTTTGGCCCCAAATATCCAAACAGAATAAAGAGCTTTAAAAATTATTAAGAAAAGGAGCTCGAGAAATACTCAGTTGACCAAGTGTTTGTCTTGTAGGACCCAAGTTCCAGCCCAGAACGAATGTAAAAAGTGGAGCATAAGGGCTTTGAACTTGTAACCTCGGCGCCGAGGACACAGAAACAAGTGGATGCAGGGGCTTGCCGCCCAGCTGACTAGGCAGCCATCTTGGTGAATTCTAGGCCAGTGGATACTCATCTCAAAAGGAAAAAAAAAAGAGGGGTGCTAGAGAGATGGCTCAGCGGCCAGAGGATCCGGGTTCAATTCCCAGCACCCACATGGCAGCTCACAACTATCTGCAATTCCAGTTCCAAGGGACCTGACACCCATGGAAAAACACCAATGCACATAAAATAAGATTAAAAAAAAAAAAAAAAGAAGAATTCTGCTCTTGCAGAGGACCTGGGTTCAGTTCCAGCACGCACATTTGGTTAGCTTACAAGCCTATTACTCCAGCTCCGGCACGCACATTTGGTTAGCTTACAGTCCGGTTACTCCAGCTCCGGCACACACATTTGGTTAGCTTACAAGCCCGTTACTCCAGCTCCAGCACACACATTTAGTTAGCTTACAACCCCATTACTCCAGCTCCGGCACATACATTTGATTAGCTTACAACCCCGTTACTCCAGCTTCAGCAGATCCGACACGCCCCCACCCCTGCCGGCATTGCACTCATGTTGCAGTGTACACGTGTGTACACACACACACACACACACACACACACACACACACACACACACTGTCTTCAGGTTTCTGCTGCTGTGAAGAGACACCATGACCAAGGCAACTCTCATAAAAGAAAACATTTAATCGGGAGCTGGCTTACAGTTTGAGAGTGTTAGTCCATCATCAGCATGGTGGGGAGCGTGGCTGCACACAGGCAGGCGCTGGAGCAGTGGCTGAGAGCTACAGCCAGATCCACAGGCAGGCGGGGAAAGAGAGACACTGGGCCTGGCATGGACTTCTGAAACCTCAAAGCCCACCACCACAGCGACACACCTTCTCCAACAAGGCCACACCTACTCCAACAAGGCCACACCTACTCCAACGAGGCCACACCTACTCCAACGAGGCCACACCTACTCCAACAAGGCCACACCTTCTCCAACAAGGCCACACCTTCTCCAACAAGGCCACACCTCCTAATCCTTCATAACATGTTCATAAATTCGGGACCAAGCATGCCCATATATGAGCCTATGGGGGCCATTCTTTTTCAAACCAACACACACACACACACACACACACACACACACACACACACACAATTATACAAAGAAAAAGGTGGATGGTACCCAAGGAAGGTTGACCTCTGGCCTCCACATGCACACACACACACACACACACACACACACACACACACACACACACACATTAAGAAAAAGACCCAGTGGTCAAAATCACAGAAATGTAAGACTCAGAGTTTTATGAAATGAAATATAAAAAACCCTGATAAACATGAACTCAATCTTATGAATAGTCAAAGACAGACTTCTGAATCTAAGAAAAAAATCAATTTGCAAGAGCTCTTTATATTTTGGAAACTAATCCTCATTGGTCAAACGGTTTGCAAATGGCTGCTGCTGGACTGTGGCCTGATCCTCCCACTTTGTGGATGGTATCGTCTGTCACACAGTTTAATATGTCCTCAAATAAGCAATCCTTCCCTTCTCCCAGTACTTCTGTGTCATTAAGAAACTCTGCCACGGTTCATCTATATTTTCTCAAAAAAAATTTAAAATGTTTACTTTTCACATTTAGGTCTTTAATCTGCCTTGGAATGTACTTTTCTTTATGAAGCTCAGATCGCCTCAGGGCTTCTATCTGAAGACCCAAATGTCAAATAAAGTTAAGAAAATTCTCAACTATATCAGGAATTAGGAGGAAAAATAAGTCAGTGAAAATGAGAAACAGCAGCTGGGCATGAGAACACAACCTTAGCATCAGGAGACAGAGGCAGGAAGATCAGCCCAAGCACAGCCTGGGCCACACAGCTTAACACTAAAAACCAACGATGGGCTGGGGAGAAGGCTCAGGGGTTCAGGGCACTTTCTGCTTTTACACAGGACCCAAATTTGGTTCCCAGCATCTATGTCAGATGTCTCACAACTGCCTCAAACTCTGGGGCATCCAACACTCACTTCTGGCCTCTGCAGGTGCCTGCACACATGTACACACACACACACACACACACACACACACACACACACACACACACACACACACGATTAAAAATAAAGAGTAAATCTTAAAAACCGAAGTGTGCATGTACATGTGCATTGAGAAGAGACTATTTCAGATGGACACAAAATTTAAAAGGTTAATAATACTGAAGTTGGGAGATATTCAAGAGGACACAGGACTGGGGGATAGAAATCCAGACCTGGTGGATCTGAAAAGCTGCATTCTGTCTGGCAAGAGCCTACAGAACCAGAAACATGCTCTCTAACACACTCCTCCCTTTCCAGCTGCAGCTCCTGGATTCTCAGCAGAGCCATGCTGCTGAGATACGGTCTGAGGGAGGGCTCAGATCTATGTCTCTGTTTTCAAGCTCCCTGAGCAGACATATAGATAAGGTTTTCAATGTATGAAACCTTACAGTCCAGAAAAAGCCCATCCCTGTCACATGGGCGTGTGTTCATGGGAGCGCGTGCACAGCTGTAGAAAGAGAAACAGTCCCAAATTATCGACCGTGGACAGTCACACTGTAGACCCCAGATGTGTGTGTGTATTAACACAGGAAAAAAACCTCAAAACCATAATAAAAAGCAAGCTTCTGAAAGACAAGCCTAGGGGTGGCAAGATGGCTCAGAGGGTAAAGGCATTCATTACCAAGCCAGACCACCTGAGTTCAATTCCTGGGACCCACATAGAAAGGAGAGAACCAATGCCTGAAAGTTGTCTACTAGCCTCTGAGCATGTGTGCACAGTCACATACAAATCCACACAAACACACACACACACACACACACACACACACACACACACACACAGAGCAAAACAGAGAGAGGAGGGACTAAAAAAACCAAACAAAAGACATGAATGAGAATGGCCCTCATAGGCTCATATGATGGAATACTTGGTTCCCAGTTAGTAGAACTGTTTTGGGAAGGATTAGGAGGTGTGGCCTTATTGGAGGAGGCACATCATGGATGGGCTTTGAGGTGCCATTCCCAGTGTTCTCCATTTCTTGTTTGCTGCTTGGGATGTGAGCTCTCGGCTGCTCCAGCTACCATGGCTTTGCTGTCATCGTGGATAACCCTCTGAAACCACAAAACACTTTCTTTAATAAGTTGTCTTGGTTGTGGTGCTTTATCACAGTAATAGGAAAGTAATTAATACAAACACACTGTGGTACAGTTCACATCAAAATTTTAAAATGCACAAACAGGGACCGGGCATGGTTCAGTCAATAATGCATCTGGTGCATAAGGGTGAGGATCTGAGTTTGATCCCCAGAACCCATGTTTAAAAAAAAAAAAGCCATATGTGGTTGTTTGTGCTATAACCCCAACCCTGAGGAGGCAGTGACAGAAGGACCCCTGGAGCTCCCTGGACAGTGCACATACAACCCAAATGTGTGCATGATGCATGTGCACACACACAATTCATAAACAGTAGATGTGATCATTTCTGGAGCATACGCCTATCTCAGGATCTAGAAATATGAATGAGGGCAGCCCACTGAGGGCAGCCCAGCAGCTTCTTTGGAGAGATCACCATCAAGAAGGTGGAGGACACAAGGGCTTTGAGTGTATCTAATCTTTTCTGTTACCTCAATTAATTTTCTTTGTATTCGAAATATTCACAATTTATTATACATTAATTCACTTACTTTTAATCTTTTGAGACAGAGTCTTGCCATATAAACTAGGATGTCCTAGAATTTGAACTGTCGTCCAAGCTGGCCTTTGACTCATGATCCTCTTGGCTTTGCCAAGCTAGAATTATAGGTATGGGCTATGATGCCTAGCTACAGTATTTCAAAATTGGAAAAAAAAGAAAAAAAACTGTCATGGAAAGAATCACTGTGGCTAGATCCTATTGAAAAGGGGCAAGTTAGAATTTTATGACTTTCATGGAAAGATTTCCAAAATTTGCCAGGCATAGTGGTATATTCCTATAATTCCAGCACTTGGGAGTCAAAAGCATCAGAAAGTTCTAGGTTCTTCCCATTTTAACCGTGAGTTCAAGACCAGCATGGACTGTCAGAGACCTTGTCTCAAAAAACCAGAACAACAACAAAAAATCCAGCCCAAGTCTATGGTGAGGATAGTATGTTTACTTGATCCCATTGAACTTGATTATATTTGAATGAATACAATAAACAAGCAGGCATTCATACACCTTTGCTGTCACTTTTGTTTTGAGACAGTCTCATGTAGCCCAGGCTGGCTTGTTTTGTAGCCAAGCAACAGAAAGCAGCTACCAGACAGACTTGGTCAAAGTTCTTCCAAACTCCACTTCCTCACCTTCAAGGAGGGTCAGGCAAACTTGCTCCCGTCCTCTTCCCCTCCACCATCACTTCAGGGGGTAATGCAGCCCATATGCTGTCCATGAGTCATGGGGTTCATTTTGTTTTACAGTTCCAGGGGATACAGTCCATCATGGCAGTTATCTCAAGATGGCAGGAGCAAGAGGCAGCTGGTTACTTTGTATCCACAGTCAGAAACCAAAGAGCAATGAATGCTGGATACTCTGCTCCCTTTCTCATTGTGTACAGCTGTGGTGCTGCACTGCTCATACATAGGGTGAATTTTCCCACCTCAACTAATTAACCTAATCAAGATCATCCCTCCCAGGCATGCCCAGAGGCTTGTCTCTTTGGTGACTCTAGGTCGTGTTAGATTGACAAACATTATTAACCATCACAGCATGGTAAATAGTTCAAACTGCACAAAAAGGTGGATAATCAAACAGGAGTGAGTATCCTCTCACACTAGCCCTGAGCCTCATCCCCTCTTCAGAGGCGACTCCTAGAGCCAGGTTCTCAGGCCAAGCAGCAGGGACCTGCACGTTTACAGGCACACACATACACACGTCACAACATTGACAAACTCACACGCTCTCTCGTCAACCTCAGAACACAGCCCCTCTGTCTTTGGGGGAGCACTGCTCACCAAACAGGCACACTGTCCTTAATATTTGCTTACTTTCACAGCATGGCCCAGAACTGCATCTGAGAGGCAGCTCTAAATGGCCCAGATTTTCTTTTCAATTCCTTGAGAATCAGGGGAGAGTTTCGCAGCCCATACTGAAGCATGACCAACTCAGGACTGGAAATTTCTAAACTGGAAAAAAAAGATCAGCTTGTACATTGTAGGTCCAGCTAACTCTGAAGCTTGTAATCTCTGTCTATAAGAGTCCTGCTAGGGTAGCTGGGCAGACGGTTCAGTAACGCCCTTGCTGCATAAGCACAAGGCCCTAAACTCAAATCCCTTGTTTCCATGGGAAAGGATGGGTGTGACAGTGTGCACTCGTAATTCCAGGGCTGGAGAGGTGGAGACAGGATTTCACCTCAAGGCCCTCAGCCAAGTCAGGTCGTGGCACCTTGACATTTGTGTAACTACATAATGTGTGTTCGTGTGTGTATGGGTGCACATGTATGTATGCTTGAGGAGGCCAGAGGATGACCTCAGGTGCCACCTTTGGAAACTCCATCCACCTCCTTTGAGACAGGAACTCTCATTGTCCTGGAACTCACTGGGTAGACAAGGCTGCCTGGCCAGCCTCCTGCCTCTGCCTTTCCAGTGCTAGGATTGGAGGCACATGCTGCCATGCCTAGAGTTTTTACATGGGTTCTGGGGGTTGGATTTCAGGTCCTTGTGCTTGCAAAGCAAGCATCTGAGCCATCTTCCCAGCCCCTCCAATTTTCACATTTTTTTTTTGTTGTTGTTGAGACAGGGTCTCACTATGTAGCTCTGGCTGTTCTAGAACTCGCTATGTAGACCAAGCTGGCCTCAAACTCCTAGGGATCCGCCTGTCTTTGCCTCCCAAGTGTTGGGATTAAAGGAGTATGCCACCATGCCAGGCCTCCCATCCAGTGTTTAACAGCATGCGTAACATCAACCCCCTGCAGGTCTTTTCAGATCTTATGCTCTTGTCCCAAGAGTTCACAGCCCTTTCTCTATTACTGACCCTGTCCCTGGAATGTGAGCCACAGGCTTCCTCTGTCCAGGCAGTCAATAGATGAACTCAAGAGGAAAGACTGTAGACTGCACTCAGAGCCGCACTACTAAAGACTTCTTTCCACCGGGCGGCAGTGGCACACACCTTTGATCCCAGCACTTGGGAGGCAGAGGCAGGTGGATCTCTGTCAGTTTGAGGCCAGCCTGGTCTACAAAGCAAGTTCCAGGACAGGTACCAAAAAAAAGACTTCTTTCCATTTGGACCCTCTGGTCAAGTTCTCTGGAAGCCTGAGGCATGCTGGGAGTCCATGCCAGTTCTGAGGCAGCCTCAATTCTGGGTCCTTGATCATCCTTCCAGGAAACTGTGACATGGTCCTTTTGTGAGTGCTCAGACTCTATATCACTCAGCCACACATTCCTCTGATGGAGAAGCCAGTGATTGATTTTCCTCAAATGAAACGCACACTTCCTAAAACATTAGCTCAGGTTAAACTTCTAAAATCTAGAAAGTAATAGGAAGACTGTCCAGAAACAATGTTTCATTGGCTCTGTACACACATACACACACACACACACACACACACACACACACACACACACACACACACACCCCCCCTTGTGGTTGTGTAATCAAATCCTGGGCATGCTAGATGAGGACTCCAGCACCGAGTCCCAGCCCCTGTCTCCAGAAAATGTCATAGCACTTGTCATAAGAACATTTGTTTCTGTGCCATTTTGACCATCTGACTAATGCTTGCCTCCAAATTAATATTCCATAATGGCGGGTGTGTATGTCTATGTGCAGCTTTGTGCACGGGAGTGTGAGTGCCTGCAGAGGCTAGAGGTGTCAGATCCCCCTGGAGCTGGAGCCACAGATAACTGCAAGCCGCTGAATGTGGATTCTGGGAACCACACTGGGGTTCTGAAAGGGCAGTGCACACTTTTAACTGCTGAGCCATCTCTCCAGCCCCATGCTTTGGTTTTTAGATATAGCATTTCCTGCCATCCACGCTGACCTTAAACTCACTACGTAGCCAAGGATATTCTTGAACTTGGATCCTTCTCTGTCTCTTTCTGGGTGCTGGGATTATAACCATCTTTGGTTCTTGCCACCCTGGTCAGGGCAATGGGGGTCAGATGAAGGGCTAATGTGTACTGAGGACTCGTGAGGTTCTGGAGGTTGGTGTAATACCTGTGAATGCTTACATGTGATCCTAGGATCCCATTTGAAAGATGTAGTGTCCATACAGCAGAAAGATTTGAGTATATGCCTGGGATAAGCTTCTGAGGAATGGCCTACTCATCATCTACCCGGGGCCTACCGACTAAAAGAATGGACCAGGATACAAAAAACCCGACTCTAGTCACCAATGTCATCGGGCTAGAGTTCCACTCTGAGTGACTGGACCCAAACCTTCTGCACCAAAGCACTTGCTTGAGCATTAACAAACCCACATGAAACTGGCATGCTAATGTTCACGTCAACATGACTGGATTTGGGATCACCATGGAAACGCACCTCTGGATGTGTCTATGAGGGTGTTTCCAGAGAGGTTCAATTGAGAAGGGAGGACCCACCCTCAATGTGGGTAGCATCATGCCATGGGCTGCAGTTTGGGGCTGAATAAAAAAGAGAAAGTCTAGAGTTGGAGGTGGAGGTGCTCAGCAGCTAAAGTGCTTGCTAGGCAAGTAGTGGAGGACAGGAGTTTGGATCCCCAAAACTATGTCAATTCTGGGTGGGTGTGGTGACTCACCTGTAATTCCAGCCTCCAAAGGTAAAGACAGGGGATCCCCAGAGGATGCCACCTAGCAAGACTAGCCACATCAACAAACTTTGACTCTGATTGAGCGATGCTGCCTTGTTGAATAAGGTGAGAGGAACCAAAGATGATTTGTAGCATCAACCTCAGGCCTCCACATGTACATACATACACGTATACATGCACACCCACATGTGCCCACACACGCAAAAACATGCCTATACACACACATGAAAATGGGTGTGTGTGTCAACTTGAACATTCATCTCTGTCTCTCTGTCTCTCTGTCTCTGTCTCTGTCTCTGTCTCTGTCTCTCTCTCTCTCTCTCTCTCTCTCTCTCTCTCTCTCTCTCTGCTTCCTGACTGTAGGCTCAATGTCACCAGCCATACCAGGCTCTTGCTGCTATGATTCACCGCTATGGTGTATTCTTTCTTAGACTGTGAGCCAAAAGGAATATTTTCTCCCTTAAGTTTCTTCTCAGCGGGTATTTGGTCGCAGTAACGAGAAAGGAGCTAATATGCACCCTGATTACTCTGACGAGGGAAGCAAACTTGAACTTAAGCAGCCTGCCCTGGACAGACACAGAGTACTTGGCAGCCAGGTGGGGGGCTGAGGCACAGGGAGCAGTGGGCACCTGGGTCAGCACGGCCATGTGCCTGAAGCTCAGCAGAGGGTAGAGAGGAATACAGCAGCCACGGCCGCAGTAGGCTCAGGCGAGAGCAAGCATAGAACAGGCCTGAGCAGGCTCTACCATCCTCCAGAGGAGCCTCAAAGGGACACGGGTGCTTCATGAAGCACCACTGACCCCAAGGGGGACACCTGTCACAGGGCCCAGGACACAGCTGCCTTCTGGCTCACAGGAGACGAGTAATGGGAAGCTACACTTTCATGGGTGGTCTGAGGCTCAGGCAGCACTGACCAGCTACCTCCTGGGGTGGAGCAAAGGGGGAGTCAACGTCATGGAGACCTCTGTGGCCTGAGGCCCGGAAAGACCACAAAGGAGCAGATCTAAGCCTCACGGAGTATGAAGAATCAGAATCAGGAGACACTCCCTCACGTCCAGACTTTCCAGAAGCCTAAGCAATAGCTCCCCAGGGAGCACAGAAAAAAAATTTTTATGGCAGCGGAACACTTTTTGACAACTCATGAAAGGGACCCCTAGGAAGGACCTAGAAGACTTCCTAGCCAAGGATGGAATTTCTGGTCTGTGAAAGATTTATTATCCTATGGACACTGATTCTCAGCTCGACAGGATCTAGGATCACCTAGGAGACTGATCTGTCTATGAGGGGGTTTCTATATTGGGTCTACTGAGGTGGGAAAACTCACCCTGAATGTGGGCAGCAGCATCCCATGGGCTGCGTTCCAGGGCTGAATGAAAAGGAGAAAGTGAGCTGAGCATCAGCATTCACCCCCTCTGCTTGCTCACCACATTTACAAAGGGACTCAAGCTCCAGCCATGACGTCTTGCCATGACGGATTATACTGTCGAACTAACAAAGTGTACAGAAACGGACCCTGCCCTTCCTTAAGGCATTTTTGTCATAGCATGACAAAATGATACAGAGGCCCGAGCTCAGGGGTGCACAGAGCTCAGATAAAGTCTTCATTACCCAAGAGCACTTGCTGCTGTTTCCTTCTCCTTGGGTCCGACAGTCAGGCAGACGTGGAGCCAGGGCACTGAGGTGGGTGACTACAGTCATTTCCACGTCTCTAGAGGCCCTGCTCCATCCACCTCTGACCACAGGCATGCCTGTTTCCTCACAGTTGTCTATCATGAGACCTACACCGAGTGCTGCCTCCCTGCACACTTCCTCCAAGGCCTCACAGAAAGGCATCTGTAGGACCTGCTTCCTGTAGAGTGGGGCTCAGCTCTGGAGACCAGTGGCTGGACCCAGGGCTGTGTATTTTTCCAGCATCTCCTCTGTTGACCTTTAATGGCACTGTTTGCCCAGCTTCCCAAACCATTAACTTCCACCTCCCAGCAGCCACACATCAATTAACGGAGGGCCTGCTCCAAGCTGGAGCTCCTGAGCACAATTAAGCGTGACAGTCCACAAATAAGAAAGAACTGGAGAATTAATTAAGGTCTAAACAAATTAATTACCAGTCCCCAATCGATTCTGATGCCAGCATACATGCTCCCAGGCTCACCTTCTTTCCTACCATCTCCATGTATAAATAGAAACCAAGATCTCCCACATGACTGCTGTTCTAGACCAGGGCAGGGTGTTGTGGGTGCAGAAAGCCTCCCTGAGAGACAGCAGTGGCTCCAGGGCTTGCTTCCTGTGTACTCAGCACTCACACGCACACAAGTGCTCACACACTCCTAGACGAAAAGTCAGGGGCAATCTTGGAGACGGAATGCTCACTGCAAGACACTGCATAGCCTGGCCACTCCCAGGACCCACATCTAAGTTTCTCAGCTCCAGAGGACAAGATTGAGTAGCCCTGGGTGAGGTTGGGAGACCTCAGCTCTGGGTGCAAGGTGTAGTTCCCAGTTGGAATTTGTATATTCTTTTGTAAAATGAGGTGGTAAGCTCTGCCTTAGATCCCTCCCAGCACTGAATGAGACATACATAACAAAGTGCAAAAGGCAGGAGAACTGGGTGGCCTCTGGAGTTCTGGGCTCTGCAAACCTAGTACAGGCCTGTGACATTGTCGAGGTGGTCCCAGGACAGAGCAGCCGACTTACACAAAGGGAACAAGCATTCCAAGCTGGGGTGGGGTGGGTGAGTAATTTGGGCTCTGGATAGTGCAGAGGCTCCAGAGAGGCCTAGATACCTAGATTTTCAGCTGGACAGGCATTTAGAGGAGCAAACTGGAGAAGTGGGGAACACAGCCATTCCAGAGAGTTTCCTTGTTTGCCTCGGAAGAGAGGGATGGTTTCGGTCTTTTCAGGACCCCCATCACTTACAAACCCTCTCCCATCCCACTCCTTCCTGTGACAGAGTCCTCCCGTCGTCCTGGTACCCTAAAGGGAAAGTGGCCTTTTACATGGTGAAGCAGGTTCTGAGCAAGTTTCTCAGTAGCTAGCCAGCCTGCTGCAGAAGGCAAGGGCCAAAGTGACTTTGAGATGCTCCATCCTGGTCAGGGCACAGAGGGACAAGGTACAGAGAGACAAGTGCAGGGAGCAGATGATGGCTTTGACCTCACATTACACTGTGGCAATCACTCACCAGAGTGACGAACAGAAGCCTCTTTGCAGATGAGCCTGCTTCTCCCAAGGTCCTGGGAGTGAGGACTACCAAGTTGCAAAGCACAGTGGGTACGACCGGCTATGGATATAGGGGCCTCAAGCTGCCTGTCAGAAGCTAGACTTGGGTGGGAGGGCTGAAGGCTGTCCCAAGGAGAAGATGGGAGGGGAATCAGGCTAAGGCTGAGAGGAGCAGGTCAGAGAGTCTCAGAACAGAGGAAAGGCCTCTCCTCCTGAGGGAGTCCCAGAGAGGTGAAGACCAGCTCAAGGTCACACAGCACAATGGGGGCTGGACAAGGCTGGAACAAGCCACTGGCAAAGTTCTTATCTGAAGCATGCCCTCCCACCCCCAAGTCCCAATTACATCTCGGTGGAGCCTCAGAGCCAGTCTAGGCTGCCTTCGACCCTCCGGCCCGGTGGCTGCAAGCCCAGCCACTGAGTAGCCACGTTCCTTGCTCAATTAGACCCCATGACGAAGTCAGCTTTAAAGAGTTATTCCATTAATGGCCCACGGCAGAAATAGCTAAGAGTTCATTACAAGTGTGGAGTTGCTATAGCAATTATCTGGGTTGGCTAGGCTCCACTGGGTGGTTGGTTCTGGGAGTTTATTAGCCGCCGGGCATGGAGCCGGTGAGGTCGCCCTATTCTGTAGGTATTCCGCAGCAAGTTCCTGTCGATGGAGTCTGGTCTGTGGCCTCACGTGCAGCTCTGGGCCATAGATGGAGAGTACCAAGCCTACATATTACATACAGGAAGCTGAGGCCTGAGGGGAAGGTCAGGTCATGGCTATGAGCTGGGGTGGGGTGGGGGGGAGCGGAACTCAGCCTTTAGAGTGAGCACTGACATTAGAAGGTTACAGTACCTTCAGGCCCTGAGCTGGGCTGGCCCCCACCTTTGTCCTCTGACAAAGAAAGGAACTCTGACTTAGGGTTCTAGTACTCATGTATACTCCTTTGAACAACAAATGCTGAACTGCTTTTTGCTGTGTCTACAGCTATTTCTTTTTGTCTTTGTTTTTTTTTTTTTTTTTTTTGGTTTTTCGAGACAGGGTTTCTCTGTGTAGCTTTGCGCCTGTCCTGGGACTCACTTGGTAGCCCAGGCTGGCCTCGAACTCACAGAGATCCGCCTGCCTCTGCCTCCCGAGTGCTGGGATTAAAGGCGTGCGCCACCACCGCCCGGCTTGTCTTTGTTTTTTGAGACAGGGTTTCTCTCTGTAGCTCTGGCTGTCCTGGAACTCACTCTGTAGACCAGGCTGACCTTGAACTCACAGAGATCTACAGCTATTTCTAAAAAAAAAAAACCAAACTTCTTTGCACAGTGGTCTCCTTTCCTGAATCTGGGAGCAGCTTCCCGAGAGTCAGGCCAAGCTTTGCAGCACCCTAAGGATGCAGCAGAAACTGTGAACTGCCCTGCGGCCAGGGACCCCTCTGACAGTCAGGTGAAGACTAAACGTCCCTCTCAGATTAATATTTCTACGTGTATAAAACAAAATTCAAAGGATTTATAAAGAAATTAAAACAAGTTACCAAAAAGTTTTGATTGTGATTTAGTAATAGATGTACCTTTAAAGGCATTTACTTGGCGGGGGCATATGGGAGCGGCAGAGGACAACTTTCCAGGATCAGTTCTCTCTTTCCACCATGTGGGTCTTAGGAATTGAACTCAGGTTGATACCTGTAGCCCAGGCTAGCCTCAAGCTCACTATATAGCTAAGGATGATCTTGAACTTCTCATCCTCCTGTCTATACCTCCCATGAGCTGGTAGTACAAGTGTTCACTTCCAAGGTCAGCTAATCAATATGCCTTTTCCTGAAGAAAAAGTAGGATATAGCAGTTGAAGTATCACATATGATTACTTGGGTTTGCCCTGCACAGAAGCAATACTTCCAGGCCTCTGAGGGACATCTGCAATATGGCATGGAGTGCCTTGGGTTTCCTGCTGACAAAGTCCCACATCCTAGTTTTTACTATCTGCTGGGCATACTCATGATAGAAAGAATGTAAACTTTTTTGTTAGAGTTTGTTGTGAATACTTTTCACAGGTCACAGGATCCATGGTGTTCTGTCTGCTGATCGTTATGAGCCTGGAGATCCAGGTTAGGAATCTCCCTTTGCTGGGATGGAGGTGTGGCTTAATTGATAGAGTGCTTGCCTGGCATGTAGGATGCCTTGGATTAGATCAACAGCACCTGACAAACCAAGAGTTTATTAATGCACACTTGTAATCCCAGCACTGGGGAGGTAGAGGCAAGAGGGCCAGAAGTTCAAGGTCATGCTCCATTACATAACAAGTTTGAGGCCACTCTGGGATACATGAGACCCTGTCTCAAAACAAATGAGCAAGCAAACAACCTCTGTGCTAAGTCTCCCAGGAGTCTGAGGCTAGCCTGCACTACATAGTGAGTGCCAAGTCAGCCTAAGCAACGATTGAGACTTTGTCCAAAACAAACATAGAGTGGGGAGTGGAGTTCAGTTGGTAGGATGCTTGCCTTGGGTGCACGAAGTCCCAGGTTCCGTCCCCAACACCACAAAACAAAACAAACACACAAGAATTTCTACTAAGACTGCATGTCGTGCACTGAGCAGATGGGTCCTGCATTTCTATCTGTGTGAATTTTGGTCTAGATCTCCCGGCCATAAGTCTGTAAGCATCAGAGAGATATGACGTGAAAGGGCCACCATTCACCCAGGTGCTTAGAAGTCCCGCAGACCCCCACCACACAACACACACACACACACACACACACACACACACACACACACACACATCTGTGTGCAGATCTTACCTACTGCAGGGAAGGGCACGAATCTCTGCACAAGAAGGCGAGTGGCTGGGGTGAACTTGTTGGCTTTCTGAACCAGCACATTAAGGCCCACCTTGGAAAGGAACAAAAACAGAAGAAGATGCATGGTGTTGCAAGGGCTCATGGGAGGGAGGAGCAGACCTGGAGGGACAGCAGGAGGGGGTCCTTCCAATCCCCCTCACACCCCACACCCAGGTGCAGCCCCTCTGAGGTCAACTGGGCCTTCTGGCCTCTAGCCTTTGCTGGCCTGGTCCCTAGGTCTGGGGTCACCCACCCACCTCAGGCCACATCTGTTCCCTCGGGACCAGCTCTGAAGTCTACCA